GCAGCGGCGACGATAGGGGAGGCGAGACCGGGGCAGGGACAGGCGCGGGAAGAGACTCCGCCGAGCCGCGAGAGTCAGCAGACTTCTCAGCAGGGACAACCGACGGGAGGGGGGTGACATGAGACACACCAAACGGGGCAGGGCAGGGAGGGGGGTGGACAGGGTCGACAAGAGGAGGGGGGGGCACCAGGAACTGGGGGGGAGTGACCGGGGGACCACGGTGACGAAAGCGGTAGTAGAAGGAGATGGACTCATCAAAAGTGAGAGTGAAAGAACCAGTGAGAAGGCGGGTGGTAGAACTGCCAGTTTGACGAGTCGAGGGGGAAACCTAGGAAGACACAGGGGACAGTGCGGGCAGTGAGCCTGTCTGTGCCAGAGGCACGAACGTGAGCAAGGCAGCCCCATACATGGAACGCAGACGCGTCACCATGGGACCTGGACCAGAGGAGGGTCGGCGAAACCTGCGACTGCTGAGGGTGCGGCCACAGGTTAAGCTGGTGAGCGGCGTAGCGAATGGCGAACGGCCACAGAAAATGGGATGCATCAGCATGGATCATGGAGGTACGAGCAACCACCATGACCAAACTGATGCGTCGCTCAGGGATCCCATTCTGCTGTGGGGAGTCCGGCAGGGTGAACGTCTGGGTGATGCCCTCCGCACGACAGAAACGACCAAGGCAGCCAGAGGCGAACTCGCCACCACAGTCAGAGTGAAGACGCAAGACAGGGAGACCTCGGTGAGCATGCGCAGAGACAAGCCAGGGGATAAGAACGTCAGGCACGTCGGCCTTCCGCTCCAGGGGAAAGTCAGTGGTATAGCGGGTGTAGTCGTCGACAAGCACTAGGAATTAGCGCTCGCGACGCGGCCCATGGACGGGGGCGGAGCCCCAGACGTCCAGGTGCAGGGTCTGCAGCGGTGCGGAGGTAGGGGGGAACGAGGAGGTATGAGGGGCACAGCGGAGCCGGCCCTCGACGCAGGGCGTGCACGGAGGCGTGGGTGAGGAGGGGAGCGCAGGGAACGATTCAGGGAGGCCTAGGATAAGACGGTGCTGGGACATGTGACGGAGACGGGTGAGGGCGGGGTGACCCAGACGGTGGTGCGATAGAAGCGACGGGTGAGTAAGCGACCGACACGAGCATGCCGCAGCAACCTGGGAGGACGCTGCTACCTGGGGTGGCGTCCCAACCGAGGGGGGACGCGGTGTCCAGCGTGAACAGGCCAGACACCGGGTCTCGGGGGAACGTGGTGAGGGGGGCACCAGTGGCGGCCTCAGTACAGACAACGTACCGCTCGTGCCCAGGGAACGTAGTGGTGACGCCAAGGTGCTGGAGGCAGCCGACACCAACTAGGTTCCTAGAGAACGAGGGAATGTGCTGGCCTGTAAGTGAGCCTGCGGGAACCGACGGACAGGGGAGAGTAGTGGATCTGCGGGCAACTACAGGACCGGAGGAAGGGTCTGCAAGAGAAGCCGCAGTAGGAGCGGCAATTGGCGTAAGCGTCGTGGAGTCGCGAAAGAAACACCGGGAAGCGCCGGAGTCCAGGGTGAAGGAGAGCGCGGCAGCGGCGACCGAGGTCGGAGGAGCGACGGAGGACCCTAGGCTAAACAAGGCAGGGGATCCTACGCGTGACGCAGCAGGGGAGCCTGCACTAGGCACACTGGGCACACCTACTCTAGGAAACACAGGGTAATAGGAACTGGTCACACTAGAGTCCTCAACATACATCGCATACAAAGCCGAGCTAATCTCATCCATGTCTATATCCAAGATTTGAACCTGACGACGGAGCAGACTATGCTAGTCGGGGAGGTCAGGCGACGGGCCGAAGCGGAGACAAAATATGTCGTCTAGGCGACGAAAGCAACGAGCGGGGGTATGGCCAATCTTACCGCACACGAGGCCGCGGCGAGGACCGGTCTGGAGCTGGTACTGGCAGCGCCCGTCACTCTGACCACCACCCGACGGCGCACCGCGCGAGCGACCACTGCGGCCACCGTCACCTCCAGCTCCAGGCCACCCGGGCGGGAGACGACCGACACACCGTTGCTGCTGCTGTTGCTGTGGCTAGTGCTACTGCACCTGCTGTTGCTGCTACTGCTGCTGCTGGTCCAGCTGCGGCACCTGCTGCTACTGCTGCTGCGCCAGGGCACCAACCCCAGCCCCCTCGTCAGGACTACCTGCAGTCGAGCCTCCTCCGCTACCTCCGCCGCGCCCAGCCTTGGGGCGGCGACCCTTACCCGGACGAAACTGCATGGCTGCAACGGTCTCTATAGTCGGAGCCGTCTCAGCAACCGCAGCTGAACCGTCGAAGTAAGAGCACTGAGCAGGGGCACAGCCTTGAAATATAGAGACGGGCATGGTACTGCTAGACTGGGCGATAGAGCGCTGACGGGTCTCTATGGCAGACAGGGTGTCGACAAAGTCAGTGAGGGGGAGGTCAGCGGGGTGGAAATTAAGGATGTGATCGCGAGCGGTGGCAAGGCGGTCAGGGAGGCGGGTGGCAAGCAGGTAGAGGGTAGAGCAGATGGGGGGCTGAATCACATGAAGCTGGGCCTCAGTGCAGGCAGTACGACAAGTCGTGTCTATCATGCGCAGGTGGGCGGCTAGGATAGCGACAGCGGGGAAAGACGCAAGGTCAGGAAATAGCATGGGCAGGATCACGCGAACTACGGAGGTAGAGGGCGGGGTGGAATAGCGCGCAACAACAGCCTTAAGGAACTCCAGCGCAGTCCTGACTGACCTAAAGCGGGGGCGCTCGGATAGGGGAAGGGCATGACTAATCGTAAGCTGAGCGACAGCGTTACGCGACAACCAGACAGCACGAGCAAGGGCAGCTGCTGCGGCGGACTCACGGTCACCAGAGGTGGGGACAGCGGGGAGGGCAGCAGGAGGGTCCGGGCAGGGGAGCGTACCGTTGAGGTGGATGGCCAGGGAGTGGCCGTCCTGTCGCTGGCCAGTCAGGTGGCGCTGGAGGTCGACGAGCCACGAGTCGAACTCAATCGGCTGCCCCTCCGCATCGAAACGCAGGACCGAGTCCGCCATCATGGTTGTAGCAGCAGGCGAGGGGCAGTACAGGGCAGTGGAGTGCAGCGGAAAGCGGTGATGCGTTGTGTAGTGCGGTACTCTGCGGTAGGGGGAGGTGCAGTACAGTTGTGTGTGGTGCAGTGCGGTGTAGAGCGGTGGAATGCGGTGCAGTGCGGTACAGAGCGGTGCAGTGCGATGCAGAGCGGTACCGGGCGGTGCAGCGCGGTGCAGAGGGCCGAGGACGGCGGCGAGGCGGTTAAGAGACGGAGCCGCGGGCGGCAAGGCGACGGGGCCAGCAGGGGGAGGGGGGGCCGGCTAGGCGTCGGGGTCGGCTATGGGCGGCGGGGCCAGCGAGGAGGCGGGGCCGACGGGGCCGATTGGGCGGCAGGGCTAGCTAGGAGGCGGAGCTGTCGGGGCCGGGGAGGCGGCGGGGCCAGCTAGGAGGCGGGGCCGACAGGGCAGATGGGGCGGCAGGGCCAGCTAGGGGGCGGGGCCGATGGGACGGCAGGGCTAGCTAGGAGGCGGAGCCGACGGGGCCGATTAGGTTGATGGGGTGGCGGGGCTAGCTAGGGGGCGGGGCCGACGCGGCCGATCAGGGCGGAAGCGCTAGGGGGGGGGAGGGGGCTACCTACTCATGATACCATGTTAATGTGAGAAGTGTTAATTAGAAAAGGACATACATGGGTATATAGCCTAATGGGTTGTACTCCCTAAGGCACAACCCTATATAGTTTATTATAACATACAATATATATGTTTGTATGTTTGATATATTTCTGCACCTGCTTCGCCCGCCTTCGCCTCCGCCTCCGCTTCGCCATTTTCTTCTCCTCCTACCCCTCTCTCTCTCTCTCTCTCTCTCTCTCTCTCTCTCTCTCTCTCTCTCTCTCTCTCTCTCTCTCTCTCTCTCTCTCTCTCTCTCGCTCTCTCTCTACCTCTCTCTTTCGATGAAATCGCGCGCTTCGATGAAAATCAAGAATGGTTTAAAACGGTCAACCCTTTTTGCGCGCGATGTATGGCGTGCCCCCGTTATCCAAAACGGTTGACCCCTCTCTGACTGTACCCGTTTTCGTCTTGATGTGCCGAATATTGGAAATGTAATTTTAGGTCGCTGTGAACATATTTGCTGGATCCCAATTCAGGGCGTGTTTCTAGTAGTTGTCATCCTGAAAAGGTGTCATCCGAGAATTTTGGAAACCCATTACAATCGTTGAGGTTTTGAAATAACGGTTGAGATGGGTTTCCAACATTTCTCGGATAACAATTTCTTGGGATGACACCTACTAGAAACACACCCTTAACTGTTGCGCGAACATGCATTTAATGGGTCGCGACAAAAATCGGGGCTTACGTTTGGTTTTTTGGGCACCCGTCAGATCCGGGTATCTAGCCAAAGCTACCCGTCAGAATCCGTGTTCAGCACACTATTCTGTCAAAAATCACTTGTCAAATCCGGGGTTCACAACCAGTTCTGCCAAAATTCACCCGTCAGAATCCGTATTCAAACCTGGTTTTTGGAAAAGTTCCCCGTCGGAATCTGAGTTCATCGAAACCCTTACCCGCTATTTTGTCGAAATCCAGACGTTGTGCCCAAAATAATTGCGCGTGCTTTTTCCGAATGCCGCAGCCTTAATGTGCTGTCATTGTTTATAGTATTACTCCTTATTGGACCCTACACATGCTGCCCAAACCAGTTGCCCCAAAAAAACGTAGTGGCATCCGAACCCAACAGGAAAACGGGTACAGTTTTGGGGGGGTTGACCGTTTTGGGTAAAAAGGACATGCCATACATCGCGCGCAAAAATGATTGACCGTTTTAAAAAATCTTGATTTTCGTTGAAGCGCGCTATTTCCTCCTCTCTCGTTTTTGTTCCTTCCCTCCCATGTTTAGCTTGCTGGCACATATGGCACCTGCGTATGCCAACCACTCTATTCGCTACTGGAGTTTTTTGTCAGCTGCACCTCCCTGCTTGTGGGGTGGGGTGGGGACTCCATCAGTTGCACCAGCTCGATGTGCCAGTGGAAGGGGTGTCAATTAGGTCACAGCCGGATTTGGCTAACGGAGCCCCAGTAGCGAGTACCAGCGCCACGCGAGGCGACAGTTCCCCCCCTCAGTTCCCCTCCTCTCCTCGCACAGGCAGGAGCCAGAGTTCCGGCGGATAGGCATCCCATGATCCCATCCCATGTCATCGCTTCTCAGAGCTTCTCATCTCACATTGCCCCCGAACTACCTAAAGCCTTCAAGACTGAATTGCCGACAAGAGTCGAGTCGTGCGGCACCTCACGTGGTACCACTCTCGTAGAGTCGAGTCGCGTGGCACCAGTCCGTTACCTCGCTGCACTCGTTGCCTGATAACCGAACCGCTTCCTCCGATACACGTCAGCTGCTGCACCGTATTAGGTGTATGCTAACTGACACTAGGTGTACGATTCGTACTTCACTCGTCGCGTCGCCATGGTGTTGGTGACTCGGCGCACTATCTTCTCACGAGAGGTGTGCCGAGCGGTAGCAAGGTCGTCACCTGTCGCCATGGCGTCGGTGATTCGGCATATCTTCTTGCCTGAGGTGTGCCGAGGGACTCGGGGCCTTTCGTCTCCTTCCGCCGTTTCTCCGCATTTAGTGGCTCTTTCTTGTAGTGCCCGCTTTTCGAATATTCTCCTTCTACGTTGCTCCTTGCGAAGTCGTCGCTTTAGTCTCTGTCGATCGCTTGTAAAGCTTTTCAAGAAACTCTTTTCAAGAAGCTTCGATTCCTCCCCAAATCGACGCCGCGATGCCGCCGCCAGTTCGTGTTCGGCCGAGATCGATCGCCGTTGTTTTTCACTGGGCCACCGCAATATCGTCTTGTTCGACATAGAAGTCGTCGACCTGAGAGACCTCATAGATTCATTGGCCTAGAGATCATCAGTTGCGTGTTTCTCCAGCCCGCGTCTCACTCCGCGTCTCACTCCGCGTCGCACCCGCGCCACTCTCCGCGTCACACTCCACGTCCGCGACTTACTCCGCCCCACACTCCGCCACTCCCCGTGACATATCCGAAGCGCGGGAGCATCACCAAACTAGTCTTCTCTCCTGCGGCATTTGTTCCTGCGGCAGATTAAGACTCCCTTGTACGGCAGGAAAGATCTATCTACCGCGGTCTCTCCACTTTCCACAGAGCCATGGCGTCCGAGGCGCATCGGCAGCAGCGGTTCGCCGCTCCAATCGACCGCCGCAATTCACGTTCACGTTTAATCGCCGTTCTCCTGCTCTCCCTGCTCCTCCGGGCTCTCATCGCGGCGCCGTCACTTCCCGGCACCGTAGCAGCCACTCCGTCCGAGCGGCAACAGCGGCTCGCCGTTCAAGCGACTCCTTCCGGGCGGCGCAATACCGAAGCTGTGGGTGTCGTTATCGCTGCCTCTCTCAATTCAAGCACGTCGCTCGGTATAAGCACATCGCCCGGCGATGGCTCCGATACCGTTAGAGGAACACAGCTCCGCGCTAGATCGCTCCTCCCCGTGAAATCCTCTCCTGCGGACGGTCCAGATCGCACGAACCGCCTGGATCGCACGATCGGTCTCTTGGCAACGACGGAAGCGGCCGGCAAGGGGAAATTGACTAGAGTCGGCAAATTTGCCAGGGGAAGTGGTTCCGGGAAAGGGACCGCGACTGGAACAGGCTCGGGGAAAGGGACGGGTGCAGGCTCGGGGAAAGGGAGTGGCACAGGTTCGGGGAAAGGGACGGGTGCAGGCTCGGGGAAAGGGACTGGCACAGGCTCGGGGAAAGGAACGGGTGCAGGCTCGGGGAAAGGGACGGGGACAGGCTCGGGAAAAGGAACTGGCAGTGGTTCGGGAAAGGGTACAGGGACTGGCTCGGGAAAAGGAACGGGAAATGGCTCGGGGAAAGGGACTGGCAGTGGCTCGGGGAAAGGGACGGGCACAGGCTCGGGGAAGGGGACAGGAAGTGGCTCGGGAAAAGGAACGGGCACTGGTTCAGGCTCGGGGAAAGGAACGGGCACTGGTTCAGGCTCGGGGAAAGGGACGGGCACTGGTCCAGGCTCGGGAAAAGGGACGGGCACTGGCTCAGGTTCGGGGAAAGGGACTGGCAGTGGTTCAGGCTCGGGAAAAGGGACAGGCAGTGGTTCAGGTTCGGGGAAAGGGACGGGCACTGGTTGCGGCACGGGAGAAGGAAAAGGCACTGGTTCAGGCTCGGGAAAGGGGACAGGAACTGGTTGTGGCTCGGGAAATGGGGGCAGTGGCTCAGGGTCGGACAATCGGACGTTGAGTGAACAATTCTGGGGGAAATGGCCGACCATTGATCCTGGAGTGTTGGAATCGATGCGCATCTACTCTCGCTGGTGGGTTTGGACAGGTCCGGGGAGGGGAGAATGGAGAGGCCCGGGACTAGGTCCGGGGAAAGGCGGAGGAACGCAAAAACCAGGAAAGGGGGATGGTGGTGGGAGAGGTAAGGGGCCGGATGCAGGCTCGGATGGAGGCTCGGGTTCAGGCTCGGGTGCAGGGTCGGGTGCAGGTTCGGGGGGAACTGTGACTGGCAGTGGGAGGGGTGGGGCGGGAGGTTCGACTGGTTCGGGATCTGGTGCCGGGAACACAGGGTCGGGGGGTAAAGGTACCACTGGAGGGGGGTCAAGCAGTGGAGGGCAAACGAGTAGTGGTAACGGAACTACCACCGGGAACGGAACTGCCACTGGAGAGACCGGAAGCAATGGCGGAGGGGCCGGAAGCAGCAGTGGGAACGGAAGTACCAGCGGAGGGGGCGAATCCGGGTCTGGAGGGCAACCGGCGACTGGAACCCCCGAGTCTAACCTGGCAGCGGAGCAGCAAGCTGCGCTGGCTAAAGTGAGCGGCGTTTTGGAGTTTTTGGAGCAGCGGAAATTCACAGGAACTGTGACGGGCATCAGGGGAAGTGGTGAGTTGCAAGCTTGTAACTTGAGAATTCTCAAAAGCCAACTCAGTTTCAAGTTCTTAAGTTGTAACCCTTTCAAGTCACGGCGGACGCGCCCGTTTGCTTACCTTTCCTGATGTTGATTTGTGACATAACTGGATTTTTCTTTGTTTAATCCTGTGCGTTATTATTCCTTCATATTGCAGGTTTGATTGAGACTCTAATGAACACTCTTGTTACCAGCAACGTTACCATCTTCGCGCCAACCAATGGTGCCTTTTTCCGCATGCCCAAAACCGTGCGGTTCGGAGGGCTGAGGAGGAAGCCAACCGTTTTGAAACAGGTCATGGCCTATCACGTGCTGCCACGTCGGCTGGAATTTGATGACCTCAAGGCCCTTGGGAATGGATTTCAGGTGAGCTGTAGGCAAAATTATCCAGGGAGCTGAGAATCCCTCTGCTTGCCTATTGCACGCCCCCCTCCTTACTCCCTCCCCTTGACTCTCCGTGTCTTTCGTCCTACTTTTGTCTAGCATCATGTGTAGTTGCAAAACCAACTGTGGCTGATCCATCTATCTCTCTCTCCCACATTCTTTTCCGGGCCCTTCTACAGTTGCAAACACTCGACGGCAACAAACCGCTAAAGAAGAATAAAACAGACTTCTGGCTGCGCATAGCCCGACCGGAGGACACACTGGGAGCGCGAGTGGTCCTTGGAAACATGTACATGACCCCGTCAATTGTCGTCCATGGAGTGGATACTGTGCTACTTCCAGTGAAAGCCTAAGGAGCCTATTTCTCAGCGCCAAAAGACATACCGTTATCCCCCGGGTATAACACCTGCCGAAATTAAGCACCCACTGGTGTTATATCTGGGGAGGGTGTTCTATTGAAGAATCCGCATTTATACACCCTCTTATTGAGGGTTCCAGGAGAGTATCAGAATAATTGAATAAATGGTAAAGATGAGAGTACACACAAATATACCTAAGTGTTGTACCCTCTAAGCGGTAACCCTATACAGTCTATACAAACATAACAAATATAGATGTTTGACACACCCCCTAGACTGCATAGGGGAATACCCTAAACAAGCAGCTCAGGGCGGCACTACTAGTCCAACCTCTGAGACAAGGGTCTGAGAGACCAGTCAGAAGGAGTACAGACAAGGCAAGAACAAGACCAGGGCGGCACTACTAGTCCAGCCACTGGGAGAGGACACAAGTCCAGTCTGAGTATACATACCGTATTCCCCCGGATAAAACACCCGCCGGAATTGATCACTCATGGGTGGTTTGGGCGGACCTGGGTGCTTAATTAAACTGGATATTTATACCACCCTACTTTTCAACATGAATCCAATACACCACCCCCCAGCTTCTTTACCTTCAATTTCTACAGCTTGGGGCTATGAACAATATAGTTTTAACATTGCAGAGACTGTCCTACAGTCTAAAATATCAGGAGTTAGCACTAAACACCATGGTCTACTCCCTACGTCTACACTATGATCACTATTAGCATGGTGGTTGGGATCTTACAGGCCCCATGATATGGACGGCCGCTCCTAGTACTCGTCTACATCATCTTCAGATTCATCTTCGTCGTCACCTGCAACCCACATCTCCACGTCGCTACCCTCTGCAAACTCTTCCCACCACCCGTCGTCCGCGTCATCAGCAATGCCCTCTGCTGGCCATTCCCTTTCCTCCTCTGCTGCATCCTCTTCAAAGGCCTCTGCCACGTCTTCTTCGTCGTCTTCAGCGTCTCCAGTGGGAGGCTCGAGGCTGTCGTCGAACAAGGGGTTGACGTAGTCTGCTTCGCCCTCTTCAAAATGCACGTCATCAAAAACTTCCACTTCCGGCTTGCCACGGAGATGGCTCAGGATCAAATTGTCCTCCGAGCCGCCCAAGTCGTTGGAGATGCCGCAAGTCTTGAACGACTTGCGGATCAACTCCTCTGGGACTGCAGCCCAACTGCGAGCAATCCACTTGAGGATGAGCTCAGCTGGGGGCTTCTTGAGATTGCCTGCAGGGAATGGAATCACATGACGCAAATTCAGGATCAAGTTTTGGAGCCGCCGGCAGAGGCGAATTCAGTGTCAATTAAACAGTTGACACAATCGGAAGCAGCGGTACAGAAGACCCACCGTGTTTTGTCTTCTGCTCGATGCCAGTAGTCTCGAACCAGCCGCCATAGTCACTCCTGACACCGGCCTTGAAGGACTTGTTAACGGCAACATCTAACGGCTGCACCAGTGGGGTGCAGCCGCCGGGGATCACAGCACGCGTCAGCTTGCACAGCTTCATAGTCTGCCCGACGGCCAGTGTGAGGTGGCCTTTGTAGGAGTCTAGGATCACGAGAGCCTCCTTACGCTTGTTCCTCGAGTCTCGCAGAGGTCGAAGGAAGGGGTTGAGCACTTGAGTCGTCCAGTCCTGGACTAGGCTGTCGTCCATCCAACCCTTCGGCTGGGCTCGGATGACAACACCTGCATGCACACCGGACTCGCAGTAAGGAGACGATGAGGATAGACGGCAAGTAACCGAGGGCTAGACATCACACACTTACCGGGGGGGACTTGAATCTTTGGGAGGGTTTTCCTCTTGAAGATAACGTAGGCCGGTAGCTTCAGACCAGACGCCGTTACCGCCAGCATAACGGTGAGCCTCTCTTTCTCGTAGCCCGCGGTCCTCACATGGACTGTACGTGACCCCTTGTGCTCGAGCGTCCTCTCCTGGGGCATTTCGATGAAGAGTGGAGTCTGGTCCGCATTCACGATGAGGTCGAGGCTGTACTTGTTGAGCACGCGCATTTGGCGAACGAATTCCCAAAATTTCTCGCATTTCTCGCGCATATCTGCCAGGTAAAACAACGAACCGTTTTATTTTGCATGAATTCAGAAGTGGGTGAATGAGTTCGGTAAAACGACGGACTTACCGTCGGCCAGTTTCTGACCCATCTTCGTCTTAACACGACGAGTCAGGCCCCATCGGGCCCGAAAGCGAAACGTCCACCTGCTGGAGGCGCGCCAGTCGATGTCGGGATGGTGGTGTCGCATGTAGGCGCGGCTCCACTTCTGCAGCTGCTTGACGGAGACGGCGAGTCCTTTGCCGCGGTGCTTCAGAAACTGGCGGTAGAGGGCACACTCCATTGCTGGGAATTTCGCTGGTCGTCCGGCCCCGACAAGACGCCTACGACAGCCGGCCGCGACGCGAAGCCGCTCGTGCGCCCTCTTCCATTCCCTGATGGACACAGGTTGCACTCCTGCAAGCCTCGCCAAACCACGAACAGAGAGGTCAGGTTGTGAGTCGGACATATGCAGCCAGAACAATTTCTCTTTCGCGGTGTACGACCGTCGTTTTTTCTTTGTCATCCTGCTGCGCGGCGACGGCGGAATACTATCGTCGATTCTAGAGGGACCACGTCGGTGCCGAACCGGTGAGGGGAACCTTGGAACGTGGACGCGTGGTAGAGGAGCACGACCTTCGGTCGCGCCAGTCGACTCGTCTGCCGTAGGAGTGCTGGCATCGCTAGCGGTGGGTATAGGGCTGCTGGGTGGCGATGTAACGGTAGGGCGAGCAGGAAGACGGAACAAGGTTTGCTGGCCATAAGGGCCACGCTGAGTGAAAAGACGGTTGAGGCCCGAGCCATTTGCCATAGCGAGTTGGAGCTATCCTAGCTGAGGGGAAGGATGCCCTCGACAACCCTTTCAGAGGTCGTTTTGAAGCCATCGTCTCTCAAAAAATCGAAATGAGTTGGGAGAACTGCCTATACCCTCAGCATGAGCGGCTTGGAGGGGATGGAGGGGACGTGGACGACTCCCTCACTCGAGCCGCTCACGATAGAGCCTTCACGACCATGCAGCACGGGAGAATCCGTGCGCTGGTCGGCCCTGTTTGGGTCGTGAAGGAATCTGCAGCAGATTCCTCTTGCAAAGGTTTGTTGGCACGTCGTGGCGTGGAGGTTGCCACCACGAGGTCACACCATGCCCCTATTGGCTGGAAAACGCAGGAGAACTGTGACGTAGCACAGTTTCACTTCCAACATGGCAGAAGGATACTCATCATCGGCGTATACGCGATTATGCGCAAGAATCATCCAAAATTGGCTCAGCACAAGTCAGTGAAGTACACATCTTAATCCTGGTTTCGTAATAGAAGAATGTCATTCCATAGCCCCCGGGCGTTGTACAAAAAGTGCCACTAATTACACCCCCACTAAATTTTGCATCCAAATTTGTTGCCACCCATGGGTGTTTTATCCGGGGGAATACGGTATAAAGGACAGTACAAGTCAAGGTCCTAGCAAGTGAGAAGCAACAGGAACTAGACCAAGCTGTACACAGTGCCGCTGATGATCTTTAGGCGCAAGCGCCTTCGTAAAGATATCAGCTGTGTTGGCACCTGAGGCCAAGTGTACTACGCGAGCCTGACGTCGCTGCTGTAGCTCACGCAGGAGGAAGTACCGCAACTGAATGTGCTTCGCTCTGCCCTCGAGTCGAGGCTCCTAACACAGGAGGATCATGGCCCTGTTGTCAGCGAACAGGACCGGGGCAGAGCTCGGCCGCTCATCTAAGTCAGTGAGCAAGAAGGTCAGCCAGCGGAGCTCCTGTGCCGCCATGGCACCAGCGTAGATCTCAGCCTCACAGCTGGACTGCGCAACAGACGAAGAGCGAGTAGCTCTCCACGAGACGGCACCTGAGCCAAGGCTGAAGCAGTAGCCCTGGGTAGACCTGAGTGTCTCAGCGTCGTCTGCCCACGAAGCGTCTGTGTGTCCAGTAAGGACCACTGGCCTGCGTCCTCCAAGCACTAACCCCATGCCCGATGTACTAGCAAGATAACGGAGAACCCTCTTAGCGGCAGACCAGTGCTGCGGTCGGTGTCTGCCTGTGGCCACAAAGCGCGCCAGGATGCTGAGAGGGTATGCGAGATCTGGGCGAGTGCAAGTCATCAGGTACATGAGGCAACCCACCAGCTCTGCGTAGGGGCCGCTGGGCTCTACCAACTCCTCAGGTACTGGAGCGGAGAGTCTGTGGTCTACAGGCAGAGGGGTGGGCTGTGCAGAGGAGAACTGAAGGCTGAACCTCTGAAGGACCTGGAGCACCAAGTGTGACTGAGTCAGGGTGATGGTGCGCGCAGCTCTGTCCCTGGAGATCTGCAAGCCAAGGTAACGGCGCAGTTCTCCAAGGTCAGTGCAGGTGTGTCTCTTCAGCAGCTCTGCCTTCACGGAGGCCAGTGCGTCCCTGTCTGCCGTGGCAAAGACCAGGTCGTCGACGTAAACAAGGATGTAGAACGGAGTCTGGCCAGCACGAACGAAGAGTGAAGGGTCTGCGGAAGACGGAAAGAACTGCAGGTCAGCAAGGGTAGCACGGAGAGTGTCGTGCCACTCACGGGGAGCCTGGCGCAGGCCGTAGACGGGGCGCCGCAGGAGCCACTGGGTCCCAGGAGGGAAGGTGCCAGTGAAGCCCTGAGGGCGACGCAGGTAGACCAGCTCGTGTAGGCTGCCCTGAAGGAAGGCAGTGGAGAAGTCGAGGGAGTGAAGCTCGTAGTCACGCTGAGCAGCTAGGTGTAACAAAACCCGAAGAGTAGTCATCTTCGGGGTCGGAGCGAAGGTCTGGAAGAAGTCCACCCCCTCGCGCTGACTGAAGCCTCTAGCCACATAGCGCGCCTTGAAGACAGGCGGCTCTCCAGGAGGGCGCTTCACCTTGAAGAGCCAGCGGCCATCGACTACGTTCACCCCAGGCGGGGGAACTGCGTCGACGAAGGTGCCGGTGGATCTCCAAGATGCCATCTCCTGCTCCATGGCAGCTATCCACTGCGAGGCCTAGGGTCCCGAAGTCGCCTCAGCGTAAGTGCGAGGGGTCGGGATGTCGAAAGCGTCTGGGTCACCCTCAGGGACTAGCAGCATGGAACAGAGATGGGGAGCAGCCTCGGAGAGGAAAGCAAGCTCGAACTGGCGGTCCT